CCCCAAAACCCCAAAACCCCAAAACCCCTTATAGCTGGTTACAGCTTGGGTTATAAAATTAATAATTTCAACTCAATAGGGTAGGATTAATTTATGACGTCAGTAGTTAACTAAAAATTGAGACCATATCCGGACCTCTGGGTAGCTCTAGTTATTCAATAAAGCTTAAATAAGCGATTTGGCTTCTAAATTTTGGCAAAAATTGCCTAAATCTGAAAATTGTTGCAAATTTACCATCTTTAAAACTTTCTTCTAATTTTTGTATAGGACCAGGATGGGAAATAAATTTTGTACATGCATGAACAAGAGCAAAAGAGCTATACAAGAAGATACACTTCAGACAGCTCCAAGCTTCAATAAATTAAAAGTTAAGAAGACTAGCAGGGTTCATAAGAAGAGTAAAAGCATTCCTGATAACGAAGAATTGTCAGGGTCAACCAAAATCGAAAGCTTAAGAGATACTATAGATGGCTTAAATATTACTAAGGACTCAATTAAAAGCTTTTATAAGTTTGGAGAGGTAATCGGATCTGGAAAATATGGGACTGTCAAGATGGCTTACTCTCGCCAGAATCCAGATTTTAAAGTAGCTGTAAAATGAATCGATTTTGATAAACTGACTGGAAGCTACCATACTTGTATTTCAGAGATAGATACTTTGAAAAAGGTAGATCATCCAAATGTAGTCAAAGTTTTCGAAATTTTCCAGGATAGTAAGAGACTTTACATTGTGATGGAGTACTGCACAGGAAAAGAGCTCTTTGACTTTGTGGTTGAGAGGACCAAAGTTGAGGAGAAGTCTGCATCATATATCATCAAACAACTTCTGAAGATCATAAAATATTTGAACTCACTCAAAATATGCCATAGAGATATTAAGCCTGAGAATATCTTGATAGATCCAGACAATTTAAACATAAAGCTGATAGACTTCGGCCTTTCCACTTATTTTAAGAATTCTTCAAGACTGACAACGAAACTGGGAACACCTTATTATGTTGCTCCAGAAGTGTTACTTGGAAATTATGGAAAGGAATGAGACATGTGGAGCGTAGGAATCATTTCTCATATTTTACTCACTGGGTGTCCCCCCTTTCAGGGTGAAAGCCTCCCAGAGATTTATAATGAAATACTCAATGAAAAATTGAAGCTGTATAGAAGTGATTGGGTTGATCTGAGCCCAGACTCTCTGGACTTTATCAAGCTAATTCTAAGGAAATCCCCTCAGAGGAGGCTAACTCCGGATAAAGCTTTGAATCATTCCTTCATTGCTGAGCCTGGATCCAAGAGAAAACTAAAGCCGAATGTTCTTGAGAAGCTAGCCAAGAGCAGTGAGAAAGGATACTTGAAGAAAAAGGTGTTCATGATTCTCGCTACTTATATTGATAATGAAGTCATTTTAAAGTGGGATAAAATTTTTCATTCATTGGACACCAAATGAAATGGAGAGATTTATATTTCAGAGATTATTAAGAAGCTCAGAGAGACAAGAATGTCTAAAGAGAAGCTGAAGCAAATAGAGAGCAAGCTGAAGGACAATCTGGACTCTAAGATAAGCTATTCGGATTTCTTGAACTCAGTCATCAATATCAAGAAGGAAGTCAGAGAGGAGGACATTCAGAAAGGTAAGGCTTGATTTTCCACTTGATCAGATTTTTTGAATGATTCTAGCTTAGCATAATTGATAAGAAAGAACTTTTAGTATTACCTTAGTCTCTAACAGTTTAGAATGGTAATTAATCGACCAATTGTTCATTTAGAGCATGGCTCGAGAGAAGGAATTTTCTAACGAATCTTTCTTTACGAAATTTGGAGAATTTGGACTAATCTCATCCTTTTCAATATTTGTCTAATAATTGGTTAATAGTATTCGATCAGCTGGATATGGACAGGTCAGGAAGAATCAACTACAATGATCTTTGATCATTTATTCAGAGGAGGGGAGATGAAAATGTCACTGCAGAAACATTATTCCAAGAGATCGACATGAGTCAGAATATGGACACAGAGCAAGATGTCTCCTTCCTTTCAGAGAGCAAAGGCGAGGATCGGAAGGAAATAAGCTTCAGCACTTTTAAGAACTTTATGATGTGAGATAATGATATTTCAGAAGCATCAGATGGAACTATGAAGTCATCCTTCTATCTCGCTGAGTGTTTATCTACTGCCAGTATAGAGTGCTCTCCTTATGTGCGTAAGTCAAGACATGAGAAGAAGCCTTTTAAACTTTAAATCCTTTCCGATTCACCTAAATATTTCATTTCCGAGAGACTATTCAATCTGTTGTTAGTGGTATGGGGTTTTGGGGTTTTGGGGTTTTGGGGTTTTGGGGTTTTGGGG